AATAATGATTGAGACACTCTCTATCAGTCTTGGTTGTAGTACCTATTACTGGAAACCACATACAATAGAAAGCACCTATAAAATACATCTCTGCAGAATGTTTATTGAGTAAAAGAATCTGGCATTGGGAAGCGCTAACAGTGATTTGTTGAGCATTTAGTGTATATAGCCACCCTGGTAGCCTTACCTCATTTAAGTATCAGCAGTGAATCCATGAAGTTACTATTACTGTGTCACCTTCCAGAGCCGAAAAAACTAAAGCTCAAAGCAATTTGAAACCTCAACCAGTATCACACAGCTGGCAGAAAATAGGCTGGGTTCAAACTCAGATCTGTAGGGCCCGGTGGTCTGCTGGGAACTGACTTATTCCAGCTTATAAGAGCTGATTTTTAATTATCAGGAATTTTGTGAACTGGTTGAAAGGCACAGCCATTACTAAATACTAAATCAAGGAAACATGCAAATGACTTCTATTACAAACAATGGTAAAAAATATTCAAAATTCACCACTTCCTATTTATTTCATGACATTCTATTATACATATGTTCTTGAGGTTATTAATCTTTCTTGTATTTGTACATTAGAAATATTCTGTAATGGTATGCTTCTGCTATTTCCAGATTTAGCTTTCACCCAGTAGTGCCCAGCTTTGGACCGTTGGTAGGTAAGCTGCTCCTGACAACAGGAAATTGACTTACTATGCTCCCTTGAGTTTCAGTATTGGAATGAAAATAATTTTCAGAAGTTGTTTCATGCCTATACCCATATATTCTAAACCTTACTGCAAATTTAATTATCTTCATCACATCCCATACCTAGGAATGTCTGATGTAGATCTTGTGGAGTAAAATGGGGATTCCAAAATAGGGATATAAACTCATTTCCCCCGATATACGTTAATGTAATAACCTGTTGTTTTACGTACATATCTTTGGAGCCTAGATTTCATGTGCATAGTTTCTGCAGTATATACTTACACGTGGTCTCATGAAGTGAAATATGAGCTTTGAATCAGAGGTTATAGGTTTCAGTACTAGTTCTTTAACTCAAGAGCATGTTAGTTAACATCACTGGGCCTCAGTTCTCTCATCTGTGCAATAAGGGGTTTAGCCCAGATGTCCTTTAAAGATCCCTCTGGTTCTACTTCTAAATGACACAGCATGTTGCTTCTCTTCTCTAGGGCTCAGTTTGTGTATCTGTAAACAACAGGGAGTTAGGGGGGTTGAACCAGGGAGTTCCCAATGTCCTTTGCAGCTCTGTAAGAGGGTGGATTCATGCACTTTGACGCCATGTTTTCTACCTAATGTGTCATTCCTATCAGATACCAGCAGGCTTTGCTGCTAGAAAAATGCCAGGTCCCCTGCTGAGCACCCAGAACTCTGGTGCCGGGAAGACTTGGAGATGGAACATGAGCTCTAACTGCCACGAGGAGGCCAGGCTGTATCAGCCCTCAAAACACAGGGAAATGCGTGGGTGCAGGGAGTGCCTCTGCTGTTTTCTTTTAGATGATCTAGAAGACTGAAGAAGTGAGGGCAAAATACCTGTACGGAGGTTTTGATTTGACACTCCAGCTAGGTCTGCAGTGAGGAGGGTAGGGGGAAGGGAGCCTGAGACATAAGACAGGTGATGATTTCTATTGGACTGGGGAGGGAGGGACGGAAGGGATGTGGGGGGGAAGGAGGAAAGGAAAGAAGGAAGGAAGGAAGGAAGGAAGGAAGGAAGGAAGGAAGGAAGGAAGGAAGGAAGGAAGGAAGAAGGAAGGAAGGAAGGAAGGAAGGAAGNGAAGGAAGGAAGGAAGGAAGAAGGAAGGAAGGAAGGAAGGAAGGAAGGAAGGAAGGAAGGAAGGAAGGAAGGAAGGAAGGAAGGAAGGAAGGAAGGAAGGGCAGAAACATGTAATTTTCACGGTGGGCAGACCACAGATGCTCAGAGAGAATGTCTCCTTCCTTTACCCTTATCTGTTGACCCTAAACCTAAACCCATAGTACCTTTGTATCTTAATGGAAAATCAAAAAGTGTTCTTAACTCCTCATCAGTATCTTCATCCTCATCCTCACCCACACAACTCCATATGCTTTTCAGGTTACACGCACATTGACATTCATAATCTCATTTAACTCATAGAGCAACTCTGAGAAATAGGCATTATTACTTGGACTTTTCAAAAGAATTGGAGGCTCAGAAAGGGAACTGATATTGCTCAAGATCACCCAGGTGTAGAGGTGAGAGTAAGCCCATTCTTGTGACTCTCAGATTGCTTTGCTTTTCTAGCCCCCAAATGCCCCTTACTGATAGCTGAAATGATGAGTTTCTGAGCTGCTGCTCACCTGAGGACTCACAGACAATCACACGTCATTGAATCCTAGATGTGGAGGGGACCTCACTCATCCCTTGGTCCATCTTCATATGGGGGAAATGCAGCTTACAGAGGCACATGGCATGTCCAGGTTCATGTACAGGGTCAGAATCAAAGTTGGGACTTCACCTCTGGTCATTGCCAAATATTTGCTCTGGCATTGTCCACTTTTGCTGATCTTTTTAGCCACCAGCAATATTAAGAGGTCATTAACTACTTTAAAATCCTTGACTATCATTGTGAGGACAATGTAACATTTTCTACCAGCATAGACATGGACTGAAGAACCCTTGATGGAGGGAGGCCAACATGCTCCAATCTCAGCTGTCATTTTGCATTTCATCCGTTCGGTGCCAGCAATTGGATTTATTGCTGGTGAGAACAATGACTCATGCACTTTTGACGCCAACCAGCTAATTTATCATGCCATGGCTTGGTAGGTACAAATGTTTAGCATGTGATTAAAAATAGAGACCCCCTATCATCCAATCCCTTAAAATTGGTCTTGCCTGGGCCTGAAGACTTTCTCAAACCCCAAACAAATTTTGACCTCAAACGTAACTGGACAGGCTTTACTTTAAGATTCGCTTACTTATGAACCTCGTCATGAAGGCAGGCAAAATAGAATAAGGACAGTTGCCTCATTTAGGAATTGCCTGTCCTGAGTCTATCCCTACTGTTTTTATTAAACGATCTGTCAACTTGGGCAACTCGTTTTTTCTCTTTGAGCCACAATACCTCCGTCTGCCAAGTGAGAAGTTTAAAGGAGGGGACCTTTGGGCGATTACCTATTTAAATGAACTCATAAGATTCTCCTTTTATCAGAGTCATCCTGCTGCATCTCAGTTTTTCTACATGGTCTTGCTATACTTTGGAAATAAGGTTTGGCCTAGGTTGTCAGAGGATTCTGCTCTGTTTCTAAAAGGATGAGGGATTCTTTGAAAGCAAAGATGAGCTATATCAATTTAACCTGTATGAAGTCAACTTCAGGATTAGCAGTGAGAGTACAACAAGCTTCAGAACTTGACATGACTTAAGGCTTCTCTCTGTCATTACCATATATATATATTTGTGAGACCTACTTGCCAGGCCGGAAGGACAAGCCACACGCCATGACCTTCCAAGAGGTGGGGAAGAATTCAGAAAAAGAAAAACACTCCAGAGGGGTGAAAACAAATGGAATGTTCTATTTTAAAAGGCACAGATAGTTGTCTCGAGATTCAGCCGCCTTTGGCCCTGGAGATCTGGCTGTAATGATTTTCCTAATATGGCTATGAGAACTCAGGACTAAAACTTGGGTCTCTTCCTTCATTTACTCAACTGGTATTTCCTAAGTGCCTCTGTAGTGCCAGGTACTTTGCTATGCTGTGGGAAAACGGGGATGATTTTAATATCACTCTGATCATAGGGAGCTGGGAGTCTTACAAAGTTGATTTGGCACGTGCACAGATTATTGTGGTTTAAGGCAGTGGCTTCAAGGCCATGAGAAAGTTCTGGTGGCTCAAAGGAGAATAAGATTCCATCTTGCCTGAAGTACTTCCCAGAGGAAGTAACATTTTCAGTCTCAATGGTGGTCAGGCAGAACTTTAATGTTAATGAGCTGGAGACTGGGGAGGTTACTTCTCTGTAATCTGTGGGGATTTTTTTTTTTTTTGGTTGTTTGTTTCATCCGTAGAATGGGATAATAATAGTATCAGTCTCCTAGACTTATTGTAGGTACTATGAGTTCATAAGTATGAACTCTCGGAAAGGCTCTCGGGACATTGTTAATTGCTCAAAAACATGAATCATTATTTGTATTCTTAATATCAGAGTGAAATTACCCCAAAATTTCTCACAGGCTTTAAAGAGAGATCAGTGGAGGGAAGCTCCATGCTCACAGAATGCCTTTGTCACTACGGTAAAGCCCACTTGGGTATTCATAGATGTCCAGAGTCCCTGGCTTCTAAGTGTGCCCTTATTTCCTCTCCCTGACCTCCACTGCTCACCTTTCTCTGGCTCTCAATTTCAGACACACACACACACACACACACACACACACACACACCCCTGTTTCTTTCTGTAGAAGCTGGACTGTTTATCAAAAGCCCCGGTTGTAGGAGTGTTTCAAATGATTTTTGGAAACTGAAATGATTTTAGAGATAATAGGCATCAAGACGGTGGGTGTGAAATAAAAACAATAGGCAAGCTCATATCGAAATCTTTACACTGAAGACAGGTGGGTTGTCCTTTCTGTTGCTTTTTTTTTTTTTTCCAAAAGCATCATCATTTATGTGGTTTGAAAATAATCTTTCCTCTGGAAAGTAGACATTGCAAGTTACGGCACAGATATGTCACTGATTAATTGTATGAAGGGCTCAGTCTCTTCTGAGCGAGGGTTCATTCTCTTTCAGGCATGGCAGCCTACAAGCATGAATTTGCTTTGACTCAGATATTTTACATAAACCAAAGAGGTTATCCCTAAGACGAACTGTCTGGCTTACTGCACCCCCACCCCCACTGCGTCCCACATACCATCACAGGAAGGCATTAGCAGTTTCAAAACTTGAACTTTCTCTCAGAAATTTCCTTATTTCAACCAGGCAGGATTTCCACGTTAAAACATAATCATCACTGTGCCAGTTATAATCAATGATTATGGGCATGTTGTCCTTTGAGATGTATAGACAATGAGACACTATTTGTCACTTACTGACAAATTGTGGGCAAAGGTTTGCCTTCCTGGATTCAGCTGTGGTTTTAGCCTCTCTCTGTTCATGCTGTCAACAGGGATAAGTACATGTAAGAAGTGGAACAGGATTAGGGTTCTTGGAGCTCATCAAGTTCACTACGCCCACACCTCCATTTTATAGCTGGAAAACCTGAGGGTCAAAGAGAGAAAGTGACTTGCCTAAGGTCACATAGGGGTTAGAACCAGGACTTCTGAGGTGCGGTCCAGGATTCTAGCAACAGAACAAAAGATTAAAAGACCAGCGCATAACCACAGCCTCAGAAACACCAGTACTTTCATGAAGTGTAAGAACACGATGCAATAATATATGACCTGAAACAGTTGTTATGGGGATAAATAAGAAAATTAATATGAAATATTCATGTAGGATCTTAAAGCACTAACTAGATGGTTGATGAAGACTGCACAACACCTTACCCAGTCGAGGCAAAAATAAGAATTACTTTCTTCTTGCAAATAAAACAGAAATCCCAAGGCCATTTTAACTGTGTGCCTTGATGTCTTCCTGCAGCCTGAAGGTTTTGTTTGTTTGTTTGTTTGTTTTTAGGTTTTTCTTTTTGCATAGCTCAATACTAGGAAGTTTCATGTTGCTCTAGAATTAAAGATAATTTTTCTCAGTCTATTCTACAGCTAACCATTTTCAAATGAGCACAAGTGTGGCTGAGATCAAAAGCAGAAGCCCTACACTAAACTTGAAGGTGGCATTTGTTGACCTAAACACAGGGCAGGAAGTCTACACTCTGAGTACAGGATCCCCAGATCGGTCAATAATTTCCTTGGCACCACAGAGTCCTTCCCTCTACAGCAAGGGGGACTGGGAGAGGTGATTGAAGGTTAATCCCCGAGCTATGTCAGGCCCAGAAACGGAAGTATGTGCTGCCCTTGGAATTTTTAAGACCTTGATTCAAGACGAGCGGAGTCACCTGCAAGATTGGCAGAGACACATTTCATACTTGTAGAAACAGGAGCAGACGTGTTTGGGGCCTGCCACAGGAAGAAGTTCCCACGAGAAGTGCGTGGTGCCAAACTTTCGAGCAATCTAAACTGTTCAAATATGGAGCCTGGTTGACTCTGAGAAGATGAGCACCTCCCCCCACCCCCAGCAGTTGTTCAAGAGAGGCTGTTGGTGGGGGAAGGTTGCTGAAGGGGAAGAGGTTAGCTGAGAGGAGCTTCAGACTGGACAGAGCCTCTTGTGGTCTGTCGCACCCCAAAAATCCCTCTGAGACTCTAGAATTCCTTTCTCTATAGAGGAATAATGCTGGGTGTGCCGTGGGAGGCCAAAGGACTACAGGCAGAATGGAAAATCCTTGAGCGGCCTCACCTTTCCTTCCCATAACAGGAGAATGATGGGTCCCTGCTCACAGGGAAACGAAAGGGCAACAACCTTCCAAGGCAATAAAAGGAGCTGCCTCTAGTCCTATATTCAGGCAGGATTGGAAACCCTTGCTTTCAGATGAATTATGGGTTTGGTTTTGCTTTTTTTTTATTTTTTATTTTTTAGCACAAAAGCTTCCGTGGCTGAAGTGATAGGATCCAGACTGCGCAGCTGGGCTGCCCGATGCTAGGTGGTTCAGGGCTCGGAAGACTGCCCTTCACAGCCTAACAAGTGAACAAGCAGGGGTGTGGGCTGCGTTAGAGAGTGGTGGTGCTGGGGTGGCTGGAAAAGTTTACTTGATATTTATGCTGCTGCTTTGAGAAACCAGTGAGATCCCTGGAGATTGTCCCACTGTGAATCAAAATGCTCCACAGAACACGAATTCCATGAGATCCAGGTTCTAGGGCCAACTTGGAGGAATGTCGCAGATCCATAGCTCCCTCCCCTAGACATTTGCATGCAAAGGCTCTGAGAAGGTCTGGAGCAAAGACCTGTTTCATTTTGAATCATCCTGCTTTTCTCTAACTTATTTGGCCATGGCAACCATTTTAACCTGATACTACTGTCATCGTGGGGGCTGGTGCCCTGTAATATTTTCGAGTCCTCCATGGATTTAGTAGTCACTGACAGAAGGACCAACAGACTGTCAGAAACGAAAGAAACTCAGAACTTAATGTCAATCCTCTATTTTTTACATAAAGAAAGCTGAAGCCCAGAGAGTTATACAAAACTAATGACCAACAGCCATTAACCCTTACCTACAAAAGACCTGAAGGTTAAAAATGTCCGCAAATGACTGTGTAACATGGAGTCATGGATTTTCATGTAATATTATATTATATATAAGGTTAGATGGAACTTACAAGAATACTGGACTTGGGACTGGCTTCTAATCAGAGGTTTCTAGCTCTTCCCCTGTCACTGCTTGGGCCCACTGTTCCACTTTTATTAGCACTGGGTGCTCTCCTCTCTAAACTGGGGAGGATAATGCTTGTCTGGCTGATTTCACAAGTTCTGGTGAGAATGAAGAGAGAGAAAGGATGTGAAAGTGGTTTATAAATTGTAAGGTACTATATAAATGGTAGGGGCCCTTCCCTCTTCTTATGTGTTGATGCTTTGGCTGGCCTCAGGAGGGTGCTTGTATTCTCCATTGTTCTCCTCTTTTGTGAACATGCTTTGCATGAACATCTCCCCAGACCCCACCTTTATCCACTTTCATGGGTTAGTGAGGTGACCCATGTGTGGGAGCTCTTGGCAAAGTCAGTTGCCCCTTGGAATGGGACCCTGAACCAATGACTCTACACTCGCACACTGCCAAGTTGACTAGCAAGGCAAAGCAGAAAGTTATGAGTAAGGCCAGAGCTTTAGATATGTGGCTCCCAATTCTCATAAACACCTGTGAAGAAAACAAAGGCCCCCAAATCCTGTGTTGTCAGGACTAAAATAAAAAGAAGAAAACAAAGAAGCAAACGACATCACCACCAAAAGAAAAAAGAGCAGAAGAGACAGATGAATGGTTGATGAAGCCTTGGTATCTTATCTCTGGAATGTTATTGATGAGCTGAGTGTAGTGTGTGAGGGCTTAAGTGAAATGAATTGGTGGTTTCAGTTCCGGATATGGTATGCAAAGAAAAAAAATCACTCTGAAATTTAGAGCTTCCTCGTCTGAGCTTCAGAAAGCCACACACCTGAAGCTGAGTGTGGAAACTGACTCATTTCTAGCCCTTTGAGATTAGCCTCTCCAGCCCCCAGACTGTGGGTAGGATCTGAGGCCTAATGGGGGAACCAGAATTGAGTCTGGCCAAACCTGGAGAAGGTTGTTGGATGCACAGCTATATTAGGGGACTTGATCTTCCAGAATTTTCTATAGGGAGCAGGCCTTCAGAACAAATTATCCCTGAAGCCTTTTTAGTACAGTTGCACTTGAGGGTAGGTGGGTGGCCTGAAATGAGAAAAAACCAAAACACAGATGCAGTGCTTACCTTATTTTCAGAGTCACATTAAAGCAGGTTGGTTGATGGACCCAGGTGGGGTAATAACATGACCTTGAGGCTGTGGGTAAAGGGTATCCTGTGCTTTCACACCAACAAGCCCTAAGAAGCGACGGACTGTTCTTCTCCTTCACTGTCCCAACAATCTGTGGATTTGGCATTCTGTCTGCCGCTCGGGTAGCTGGGAGGCCAAGGAGAGGTGTTTCAAATAAATTATTTAAAAAGAAAAGAAGAGTAGAACTCATACATTCCCCATTGTCCCTTTATACCTCAAATAGGGCTGCATGTGATGTGACAGTTAAACTGAGGCACGGAAGCCCGGATGATGGAAGGAGGCTCAAATCTCCCAGAGGGGACCATCTCAAGTTTGGCCCTTCAGACCTTAAACCAATAGTTTGCAGACTTTCTGCAGATCATCTCAGCAAGAGAAATCACCACTCAGATGGTCTTTACTCCAGTCTGATCAGCAAATTGAAAACACACCGAAGCAAATGACTTGTTTAAGGACAATAAGGAGACCTGGTTTAAGTGAGAAGTCATTGAGGAATAAGATGACGTCGGAGATACAGTAGCAAAAGACTCAGCTTAGGGTCAGAAGATCCGAACTGACCAACTCTGTGGCCTCTCCGTCCCTCCGAACCTCCCTTTTCCCATTTGTAACATGTGAACACTAATTACAAGATGCGAGCACATGTTTAAGAGCACCTACCTTATCAATGGTGAGGACCATGCAAAGGCTCATCGCCGTTTCTATTTATAAGCTTTTAAATATTAATGATTAATTTGTGTTAGAAGGGAGATTCCAGACTGTGATGACAGAATAAGCATTAATCTTCCAAATTTTCCCGTGTGGAAAGCACTTATAAAGCACGTTAGGTCCACATTATTGATTTATCGGCATGCCACTTCCAAAAAGTAGTTAAAGTAACTTATGAGATATAAAGATAGTAGTCTCATCAAAACATAAAGATGTGGTCATGACAGAAGAGGACAGTGAGGGGGAAGAAAACTTAGAAATAGGATAATTTTAATGAGGCATATAGCATGATTTTGAGCTTCCCAGCAGCTTAGACAAAAAGGGAAATGTATTGTATTACCCAATCCTCTTCATCTAGTAGAGGAAGAACATCTGAGGATGGATGGGGTTGGGGGAGGGTGGGGAGGAACTCACACATCCAGGCCCTGAGCTCTACGTGCATTGTGGGCATCTTTATTCAAGGGATACAAAAAAATGAAATGTGCAAGATCTTGAGAAGGAAGTGCCGCAAAGGTACTGTGCCAGTCTAACCACTAGGTGATATTTTCCTCTGAATCAGTGCTTGCCTCCCAGAACAAACAAACAGCAAGATGATTAATAGAAGGAACAGGTTGCCTTTAAAAAATAGGGCAGTGAAAATCCAAATGTTTGCCCCTGGCTGGGGCGTGCCGCTGGCCCAGGTACTCACCAAGGCAGTCACCATTCATTAGGGGAGTCAAGTAGTCAAGGCAGTCTGCAAGGTGCCTTGCACAAGGTCACTTGGTGTCTGTGAGACTGACTCTGCATTCTGAGTTCCTTAATATGATTTTTTAGGTCACAGTGTTCTAGGCAAAGCTCCCTGTTGATGTACATCTCTCATGCAAGATTTAGATCACCTCTTTTCGGGCAGAGCTCCATGGAAACACCGCCCATGATTTCTGAAATGGAGTCTGATTGGGTCCCGGTAATGCCCAGCTGGAGTGGACAGTGTTCTCTGCAGTTGACACACTGCCGGACCGTTGGCAAGCCTGAGACAACCAGAATCTGGTCCTTGGAGGCTATTATTATTTTAATGCCATAGTAAATTCCTGTTTACCTAAGATGGCCAGGGACTGGGGTATTCTGGGCCATGGAAAATTCTGGTTCATCTGGTTACCATTTATATCATTTAGTGATTCGTGGTTCCCAAATAAGTAAATTACAACACGCTTTGCTGAACGCTAAAATCATACACTGGAATGATTTAAGCTTTTTTGATCATTTGTAAGATACTTCGGGATCCATTAGCATTCAATACCATCGTTAAGATTGTAACCTCATTTGGGGGGATCCCGGGTGCAAGTGCAGTAGGTGTGCGGAGTTGGGCTGCCTCCATAGTGGTGACTACTGTGTTTCCACAGGACACGGGACTTGTTGTGGTTTCGCTGAATCACTCCATCCTCGAAATCCATTTGCTGGAAGTGAAATAATAAACACACATACTAGCATTGTACCTGGTGTAGCATAAGTCATCGTGTTACCATTCCCTCCCCACCCCACACCCCCACCAAGGACAGCAGGAAAAGAAGAAAGTGTTTCCTTTAATTGGCCAGAAAGAAAGTATTCCATTTAATTTCTTTAGATACTAAAGAAATTCAATTCATGGCTCAATTCATTAGGGGCCACAGAATTATATGCCTCATTCTATTGATTCTCATAAAAGAAAACGAGGGCCCAGAGGGGGAGTGTGACCCTGCCACAGGCTCATGGATGTTAAGGGGTAGATTCGGTGGTAGAACCCTCATCTACCGGGGCTCGTGCCTGAGCTCTTTTTTTTTTTTTTTTTTTTTAATTTTTTTTTTTTATATATGTAAAGAGAGAACACAAGCAGGGGAGGGGCAGAGAGACAGAGAGAATCCCAAGNGAAATTCAATTCATGGCTCAATTCATTAGGGGCCACAGAATTATATGCCTCATTCTATTGATTCTCATAAAAGAAAACGAGGGCCCAGAGGGGGAGGGTGACCCTGCCACAGGCTCATGGATGTTAAGGGGTTAGATTCGGTGGTAGAACCCCATCTACCGGGGCTCGTGCCCTGGCTTTTTTTTTTTTTTTTTTTGCTTAAGTTTATTTATTTATATATGTAAAGAGAGAACACAAGCAGGGGAGGGGCAGAGAGACAGAGAGAATCCCAAGTGGGCTCCACACTGTCAACACAGGCCCTGACGTGGGGCTTGAACCCACAAACTATGAGAACATGACCTGGGCCAAAAGTAGGAGTCAGACGCTGAACTGACTGAGCCACCCAGGCGCTCCGTGAGCTTTTTTTTTTTTTTAAGTTTATTTATTTATTTTTGAGAGACAGAGAGAGACAGAGAGACAGAGAGAATCCCAAGCAGGCTCCACACTGTCAGCACAGAGCCTGACACGGGGCTCTCTCTCATAATCTGGGAGATCATGACCTGAGACAAAACCAAGAGCCTAATGCTCAACCAACTAAGCCACCCAGGTGCCCCAGGCCTGAACTCTTTTAAACAATCTGACTCCTGGAATATGCAGTTCCCACACGGCAGAGAACAGAGATGGAGAAGAAAAATATGTCCTTTGTGAAGGGGCTTCGGGAACTCACAATTATCAATACTGCTTGAAGGTCATCACATACTGTTTGAAAGTCCATTTCTGTATAAAAGCCCTGACCCAGGCTCTGAGACAATTAATAGGGTAGAGAATGAATAAAGTCCCCAGGATCCAGTCAAAATAAAAATGTTTCTAAAACAGCCAAGAGCCAAAGAACCCCTACATCTGCAAGAATACATTTATAAAAAGCCACCAGACGGGTTTTAATTCCTAGCATCTTTCTTTGCGTTGGCTCTGTTTGAAGCTTGATTCACTCCCCCTCTCTGCCCCTTGCGTGCTTTCAAAGGTAAGTTTGTACTCACTTAACTCCCAAAATAATTTCCAGTAAACTCCTCCCCATGTAGGAAGGGGAAGGAGGAAATCAGCGATTTTAATACTCACTGCATTTTTGAAAGGCAGGGCTCGATCTCTTTAAAATGAGCTGCTCTCTTGGTTTACAAGTGTTTTCTTTTCTGTAGTTTCATATCCTCACTTGTCTCTTTTCCTCTCCCCATGTCCTGTGCTTTCACCCCCTGCCTTTGGATCAGGGGCCTGGAAATCTACTGTTAGCACAGGAGAAACCGCAGGGGGCTGAGGTTTCTGCAGCTTTTCAGAGCGAAGAGGCAGATCTCAAGTGAGACATGTCCTGGGGCCCGAGGACCCCAACTCCTGCTGTGACTGTTTCCAGAAAGCTGCTTTTGATATGTGACCTTCCGTATGACATGACTTTAGTTCCAGGAATACCTCAGTCTGATCTCTCTGTGTGCCCGTGTGCTTGTGTGCACACAGGTTATCCCGATATTGTCTAGAAGGGCTCTGTGTTGATTACAAATAGATAATTGATCACAGAATTCCTAGGAAGGGATCATAAGAGGTCATGCGTCCAACTCCATGAAGCTTGAGTGATGTCACTACTAAATTGCTTCTGCCAGAGATCATATAAGTAAGAAAGGGAAGCCGTCAGGTAAGGCTCTCCAGCTGTCTACGCTCATCACCTCTCAGGATCCTCCAGGGACCACCCCCATTGCCTAGAGGATGCACTTTAAACCTTGGAGACCGGCGCTCAAATGTAGACAAAAAGCATGGCAAAAATAGGCACTGGATAAATATTGTTTGAGTGAACAATGAGTAATGAGACGGGTCTCCAAGACCTAGCTGACTCCTTCCCCTCCCCAGTATGATGAAGCCCCCCCTTCTTTCTCATCTACACTTTCTACTGTAGCCAAACACGCGGCCCCCTACCTCTTTCACTGCCCTGTACTCAGACCGCACCAGACTCTTGTTCAAGCACTTTTCCTGACTGACACAATCAATGACATTTCTATCTGTGGAATGCATTTCCTCCTCTGTGAGGCATTCCCTCCTCCCTCCTCCAACCTGTGTCCACTTGGGGTCTGTTTGCTCTCCGCTCCGCAGAGAACTCACCCGTGCCATCCTAAGTACATTATTGCTCTCCCTCACTATAAGGTAGACTCCTTGTGCACAGCATCCGTCTCATCCCTCCTTGTAGTAGTCTTCGTGGCACCTAACGTATGGCTGAGCACGTGGCCAGCAGCAAGCTAGACCCTGTGGCTTGAACTGAATATCAGGTCACCTTCTCTAGCCCAATAGAGAGGGAACGGTGTATACTCACTCTTTTCTCCTCCGTCGAAAGCTGAGTTAGGGATTATTTTGGTCCTCACCTCTGACCTAAATCTGCACAAGTCTATCCTGAAAACCACACCCACAGATTATGCAGCAAGCAAAGGTAACCACTGGAACTATGTGACATAGCGGCACAGACTCGCCTGTCCAGGCCCTTGCATGGCACTGGAAATTTACAGGAATGTATAGCGACGCTGTTGCTGGGCTGGCTCGAAACTTGTTTCGCTCCAGGCTTCTTCCTTCAGCAGGTATGTTGGGGTAATGGTGAGTGTTGCCAGCTGGGACAGGAGGACACCCAGCCCATGCCCAGGTTTTATTTACCCCAGTGCAGCAAGGTTCCGTGGGCTTTTTGATCCTTAACCATGAACTTGGGAGCCCTTTGGGCTTTCTCAAGCAGCCACGCCAAGAAGGCTCTCTGATTCCAATGGCAATAACCAGTCATGATTTATGGACTCTCAGAACCTGGAACATCAGAGCAGGCGATAACCTTAAAAATCATCTACTCGGACCCTGCATTTCACAGTTGATGAACCAGATCAGAGTTGCCTTGCTTTTAATACCAGGGAGCTAGGCTCTATTCATTCATATACTTACCCATCCTTCTATCCAATGCTCTATCAACCGACCCATTTGCTAAATATCCACTAACACTTAGGTGCCCAGCCTGTGCTTGGCTCTGACTAAGACGTGGTCCCAGCTCACCGCACACACATACACAAATAATTATGATTCAGTGTGAGGTGTTATAATGCAAGTGTGAACAAAGCGTGTTATGAGCACATACAAGGCAGTGGCTCATCTGGTCTACCTGGAAGAGTGAGGGAAGACTTTTAAGAAGAGGAGGCATTTAGACAAAACCTTAAAGGAAAGGGAAGCATTCTATAGAGACAGAGGGAAAAGAAGGATCACAGAGAGAGGGAAGTTTGTGCAAATGCCCGGCCTCAGGAGAGTGGGCAGCATGCCCAGAGACCAAGTGAGGGCCCAGTGGGACTCCCAGGGAGAGGGGGGCTGTGTGCAGTGGGGTGCAAGGGGGGAGGGCATGTGCTACCGCTGCCTCAACATGACTTTGGAAGCTACTGTGGAGATCTCGAGATCCGTGCCAAGTGCTGGAGCTTTACCCTGGGGGGTGACAAGGAGCTTCTAAAAGTTTGCAGATGGAGAAGTATCACATCCAGTTTATATTTTGTTGAGACTCTGTGGCCAAAGTAAGAAGAGACAGAGACTGTTGCTGAGGGGTGGTCACAGCTGTCCTAGAATACTAAAGGCAGCTAGTGAGTGTTCACATCTATAAATCAGATCACATGCCCTCCTTGGTTAGGACCCTCCACACTCCATACTCATCCCTGGCAGTTAGTCTCATCACAAATTCCTGTCATTTTTAAAAACAGCAGTCACTACAGTATTCAATCATCTTATTTATTTGTTTGCACGCAAATTGTCTGTGTCCATTTCTAAAGTGGGAGAGCTATCAGAGTCTTTCTCTGAGTGTCTTTCTCCAGGCCAGTACAGCTCCTGGGATGTAACAGGTGCGTACAAATGATGGATGAGATCTTGACCTCGGGGAATGGTAAATGAAGATGGAGAGGAGATGGCCTTTAAAGGCAGAAAAACACCATCCCTTTCCAGACCCATTATGTATTTAATGAGTGGATGGTAGCCGGTCTTCAGTAGACAGAGGATGCCACATTCTCAACGGACAAGACTTACTACTCACATCTGAGAATTTTTATGACAGGCAACCTTATTTTTCCCTCTTGCCCATTTCACTCCAAGTTTTTCCACAAATTATCAGTCTCTGAAATGTAACCATCCAGGGATCCTCTCCCTTGCACTTCGTTATTGTAGTCCCAACTCTGCCACTAATGTCGTGGAGCAGTCAGGGTACTTTCTCAGGCCTTCACTTTCCCTAACTGTAAAAAGGAGAGTGTTAGGCAAGGACCTATAAGATGCTCCTAACTAGCATGCCATTAGTGAGTCTCAGATTTCTCTAGAGAGAACAAGAACTCTTCTCTGTTTTCATTTTTTTTTTTTTAAGTATATAATGATTATGGGGCACCTGGGTGGGCTCAGTCAGTTAACCATCTGACTGTGGCTCAGGTCATGATCTTACAGCTCATGAGTTCGAACCCTGCGTCAGGCTCTGTGCATCACAGCTCAGTGCCCGGAGCCTCCTTCGGATTCTGTGTCTCCCTCTCTCTGCTCCTCCCCTGCTCACACTCTGTCTCTCTCTCCTTCAAAAATAAACACTAAATTTTTTTAAGTATATAACGATGATATACAAAATCTCATAAAAGACAATAGTTTTTATATTTCTCTGTTGTCCCTTTCAATTTCTAGTCACAAGTATTTTTAAGGAGTTATAATCAGAGCACATGTTACAATTTTGGGTTCCACTCTTACCCTTGAACATTATTTGTTATATGCTTTTCATGTTGCCACAAAGTCTTCCCATTTATCATTTTAATGGCTACATAGTTTTTCCTAGAGTTAACATATCATAAATTATTTAACCATTCCTAAATTGTTGGGACTTTGGATTCCTTACAGCTTTCCATAGTTTAAGGAGCTCTGAGCATACAGCTTTTTTTTTTTTTTTTTCAGAGTTATTTTCCTTAGGGTAAATCCCTTGGAGTGGGGTTATTAGATGAGTTTCTGGCTCTTGAGAAGAAATGCCAAATGGCTCTCCGAAAGGATTGTTTCAATTTGTATTCAACTTGTGTTTCTCCCACTAAGCGTGCCAGTTTCACAGAAACCTTGCCAGCATGTTTTTAAAAATCAATTTCCTTCATTTTTTTTCAAGTTGAACTTGTATGAAATGGGGCTTCCTGATTGTTGCTATACCAGAATTATCATCAGTCAGTGCAACGTTATCATACAGTGCTTGGTGAATAGAAGCACTCAGGAATCACTATTGTTATTATTAGAAAACGAGGGATCCTAGGAGGGCCAAGTGTGCTCGTTTTACCCTTGAACTCAACTTTTTCTACCACTGTCTCCAGTTCAGTTTACTACAGATACTTATCTCTTGCCTTCAATGTTCCTCTAACAAAAGTGCCACCAAATGTTCTCGATTCCAAGGTAGCCGAGTTTCCTTAGACTTAAAAGTCATGGGCTAAGCTCCCTCCCCTACAAATTCTCGCCTCCCTTCAATTTTCGATGAAGATATGGTCCTCATGAGAGATGGGATGCTGACAGTCCTTCCTAAAGCTGCTGCTTATGTTCATTTGAAGTCACTCCTCACTTAGGTAGCTTCTCCTATTATTTGTCGCACCCAAGATAGCCTGTTGGCTACTTGAAGACGGTGATTAATTCCCCAATGTGTGTTTTCTTCTCCAAGTTGGATATTTCATTTTTTAAGTTATCCCTTATCTTATTCAAAATTCCAGAGTCCTATTTGCTTTCCTCTGAGTTCTAGTTTGTAAAGTTCTCCCTTTCAGTGTTGGATCTATCCATTAATTAAAATTTACTGAGTATCTTCTAAATGATGACCAGCATATGAAGACGAGTAAAACCAAGTTCCTGCCCTCGACCTGCTCAGGGTCCAGCGGGTCAGAGAGGAGCACAGCCCTCAAGGTTTGAATCCTAGAGAAGTCTCAGGCAGCATGCTGGTGGGTAGGTCAAGGGATGACACCCTCAGGAAAATCTGGTGGCCTTTTGTATAACAAACTCTACCTATACTTCATTGGTAAAATGATGACTATCTTACCAAGCAGAAGCTACCATATAGCTTTTGGTAGACATGTCAAAGCATCCCAGAGCCTGAATTTCTGAGGTTTAGATGATGAGAAAAGTTCTAAGAACTGAGCAGAGTTAACTCAGGACTATACCTATGATGGAAGCTAAAACACTCAGGCACATGCGCTGTTGAGGCTGTCGGCTCTTTAAGGAGCTCATGGGAGTCTAAGAAAGCCAGTTTCTTAGGTAGGAAGAAAAAGAGGCTGCTATTAACCAGCAAGGCAAGGAATGAGAAAAGTCGGGTCCTGGTCTTCCATTGTTGGGTAACCTGGGTTATTTCACTTAAATTCTCTGGAACTCAGTTTCTTTATGTGTAGAAATGGGTAAGACTGGAGTATTTATCTGAACTGTAATATCGTTTCCAATTCTGACAATTTATGATCCGCAGAACAGCAGATCCTGACTTGTCTCTCTCAATGACTTCTCTCATCCTTCCCCACCCGTCCCAGAAAAGCACACACAGGAAAGTGACCTCATTGGTCACTGGGCAGATATCAGAGAGTCCATTGGGATTCCGTGAACTCTGTAGCTACTACAGTGATCACGTCCAGTTGCAGCTAAAATCTGCTGCTGGCAGGGTTAGCACCCACTTTACCAAGCCTGCTGCTGTAGCTGATGCCTCTCACTTCCTCTCATTAAGGCAAACTACCATCTTATTTTGTTTTGTTTTCCCCGCATGTTTTGAGTTTGCTGCTTCCCAGCTCTTGTTATTAGAAGAGACATAATTAATAACTCCTGGCACACAGAGCAGCCAGATTGGACAGTCTGCCTTTTGCTTTCTCGAACTGTCTTCTGAGCAATCTGCAAGCCTGAATTTATAGCCTGGACCCCATACAATGAATTGTTTTGTAATCCCCAGAAAGAATCAGGAGTTCACCACATTGTCAACTTGAAAAAATAACATTCTCTTTGTAGTTTTTGGTGGAAGTTTGATCCAGACTCTTCAGTTAAGAACTTGAAAGCAATATGTGGTCCCATCCTTACTTAAATCTCTCTTGAGAAGACAAGTCTGTGAACATCTTTGATCACCATTCTAGAATTTTCCATTTTGAATCATTAAGAGTCAGTTCCTAAGGTCTAACCCCATCAACTTCTGTGGCAGCCTAGACCCATTTCTTTAGCAGAGATTAAAAACAAAGACACATCAGTCTTGTTCCACTTTTCTTGTGATTGGAGAAAACTATTAAGGACCTTCTCAGTGTCCTCTAAAGTCACCCTAAATGGTCACAATTCCCTGGCCTTTTCCACCTCAGGAAACACTCAAAACATCAGATATTTCCAATCGGTGTCATTTGGGTCTCTTGTTAATCTGCCCATGTTTGTTTAAACTTATAGAACCTACGTTGGACAAATGGACTATTTAATAATATTTACTGAGGTACTACTTCTTTTTTTCTTGGTGCTATAGGGACACAAGTTCGACTAAAATAAGATTTCTGCTCTCAAATCTCTTGCATTTTATAATCAAAATAATTATAACACAGAGCTGAGTTCTGTAAACTTATCTGTACATTGAATCTCCCAGGGAGTTTAAAAAACTGTATCCTACACTCCCAGGTATATTGATTTCATTCTGTTGAGGTATGTCCTAGGCTTTGGAAGGTCTAAAAGATACTCAGGTGATTCTAATGGGCAATCCACATTAGAATGTTCCAGTCAAAGGACTTAAGGGACACACACACACACACACACACATAAATAAATGAACAAACCAACACATTTTTTAATGTTTTTTTATTTTTGAGAGAAATACAGTGTGAGCAGACAAGGGGGAGAGAGAGAGAGAGAGAGAGAGAGAGAGAATGAGATTGAGAGACACAGAATCTGCAGCAGGCTCCAGACTCCAAGCCATCAGCACAGAGCCTGACGTGGGGCTCAAACTCACAAACTGCGAGATCATGTCCTGTGCCAAAGTCGGACA